GGGGCGGCCCTGGTGGCCCCGCGGGGAGCGCTGCGGCCTCCCCGGCAGGAAAGTGCTGTTCGTGTGGCCCCTGCGGGCGCTGCAGATGGAGGGTCTGGGAATGGGCGGGTGGAGACGGTGCCGGTGTCAGGGGTGTGAGCTGGGTCTGCTCCTGAGCTGAGCGGGGTTTGGGGGTGACAGGAGGAAAGATGCACGCAGGAACTGCGTGTGCTAAAGCAGTTGGGATGCTGAGTTTTACTTTACAGGGAGTGTCTCCTTTCCCTCACACCTAAAGATGCCTGCCCAGGCAAGTTGCTCTGCAGTTTGGCTGCTGTCCTGAGCTCTGCTGTCCCCATGCACCACACTCTGTGGGGCACGTAGTCTGTGGGTCACTTACAGGTGTTGTCAGCGTTCCAGGGCAGCTGGTTTTTCTGCAGCACTGAAGCAAGAGGAGAGTGTTCGCTGGGGCTGCTGAAGATGCGTGATAAGATATGCAAATGTAGCAGGGAGATGTGGAGAGCCAGCCAAGGGCTGGCTTCTCTGCTGAGACACCTTCTAAGCATACTAGTTTGTGCAGATTGGAACTTGCTATCCTTGATTAAACTCTGCAAGGGACAAATAAATAAGGAACCTCCTCCAAACTCAGCAGATGTTTCTGTGATGACCTTATTTTGTCTTCATTTGTGTAGAAACCTGCTACAGATCTGCCAGGTTGGTGCCCTGCTACTGAGTGAACGTCATTGTACATTAAATTAGTCATCTTCAAAACCACAAGCTGCTTAAGGAAATTAATTGTTCATGACTGTTTTTAATCCAAGCCTCATAATCTCAGAGTGTTGCTGGATAACTCAAAGAGAGCCAGTTTGCCTTTCTGCAGTGGCTGGGAGTGCTCAATTAGCTCCCCTGTCTTTCTTTTTCCACTCTGGGGGGATTTCTTTGCTTGGTGCAGGTTTCTGTTTCCTCTTTTCCCATCTTGGCGACCACATACTACATTGTCCACAAAAACCCAGCCATGCAACACACATTCAAGAATTCCCTGTGTTCAGAAGTGCTGAATGGCTTAGACTGGGGTTCAGGTAGAAGGAGCTTTATTATCTGGGGACTGGTGGGCTGATGTGATAGGAAGAGCACCTTAAAATTGTTTCAGTTTCATCCTCTTGGACCAATGGGCCACGATTTTCAGCAAACTTCATGCATCTCTGTGATCAGGGACTTATATTTCCCCTTCTTTGTGGCCAGTAGTATCTGAAATGCTGGGGCTGACTCGTTGAGTTGTGTCTGCATGTAATGAGCTTAGAGAAGTGCCTGTTCTGTCTTCCTCTGCCCCACCCCTTCACCAAGCCAAATACTTCCTTTTTTTCTCAAGGCTTGAAATAACAAGAGAAGGGAAACCGAGCTGTGTGGCAGCTGCAGATGTTCACGAATATTAGTTGAAGAGGAAATTTATTTTACCTAACCAGAGCACTTCCTGTGTTGTCTGTTCTTCTAAAGATCTAGAAATGACATGTAAGGCAGGGTGCCTGTTGCAGCACTTCCTTGTGTGACTTAGACAAGTTGTCTTTGGGAGATGTTGATTTTTTACTTTTTTGTCTTTAGCTCAGGGATGTTCAAAGGGGTTTTCTTGCCTAACAGTCAGATTCAGCAAGTTTGCAAACATTTTAATAAGCACTTGTGGAACCTCCTGTGGTCTAGTTCTTCCAGAATCAAAACAGACTTGCTGTTCACCCTGCCCTGGAGCACAGACAAATCAAAGGTGGCTATTTGAAAAGAAATGAAAAGAAGCAGCTTTTTGAGGGTTTTAAAAATCCAGTGAAGTGACAGGCCCTGGAAAAGTGCTCCTAGCTGGGCTTCTAAAAGCCCAGCTTTTGATATCTTTTTGATATCTTTTTCTTTCCAGTGGAGGATTAGCTGTATGTGATGGCAGTGTTTTTGAACAGGATAACAGCAGTTTTGAGGGGTGGTGGGGGAAAGACCTGCAGAACAGCCAGAATCTTTCTGACAGTAATTCCTTGATTGAAGTACATGTAACCCAAGTTGTGTTTAGCTCCAACCCCAGAGATTTATCTTGATTTGTTAATACACTCTTCCCCCTGTCCAGACAAGCTTTTTTGCCTCCTTCCCTGCTGTACACGTACTAAAAATGATCACACGAGTTTAACTGCCCCTGGTCCTGTTTTTAAGGTTGACTTCACACACAGCTTTTCTCCAGCAGATGCAGATGAGGTGGTTCAGAAGAATAAAAGGTGTGCATGGCCTTTACCTTTATCCTGACTCCTTCTTTCCTGTTACCTGAATTTAGATCAGAGAAAGTGCAACATTGACCAGAGATGTACTTGAGCAACATTTTAACGATTTGAAAGGGACCCTGAAGAAGCTGTTGGATGAACGACTGCTGTCACTGCTGCAGGAAGTGGATGCAATAGAACAAGAGAGCATCAAACCCCTGGATGAATGCCAGAAGCTCATAGAGCACGGAGTCAGCACGGCTGATGATCTGCTCCGGGAAGGTAACCAGGATCTGGTAATGAGGCTTAGCCCTGCCTTGTGGTGTGTCTTCTCTGAAAGACTGAAGTGTTCCTGTTGTGATCAGCATATCTGGCTCATTTTGGACTCCTCTCAAACCAAACGTTAAGAAAAGGTTAAAGTTGGGTAGATGTAGTGAAAAGCTGATTGATATTATCTCCTAAAAATCTGTAATTTAGTATTTCACTCCAGTCTCAGGCAGTGCAGTCTCTCCACAAGGGCAGGAAGTACCTACTTTGGAGATGTCTGGCTGCAGATGTGTCTTGCACCCCTCCACTCTAGAAAGAGGAATTATGTCATGCTGCTTTGAAATAAAATACATCTCAGGTACCATAATAACAAAATGTCCGTGTTGGTTGAAGAAAGTTCTTTGTGTCTTAGTGGAATAGCAGCTGAAGTAAACAGGTTATGTCTCCTGTTCAGTGTGATTATGTTCATTGTTGATGGGAAACGTGAGGAATGAAATGGCCATTGGATGGGAAAAAATTCTCCAAAAAGTCTGAGGATGAAGCAGACAAAAGTGGACAAATGTGGAATATTACTGTGAGGGCCAGTTTGTACCCTACTGATGTTGAATACCTACCCAGAAAGGAATGTCACTCTTGACTGTTTTCCTCACACTGCAGAACCTACTGGGAGCATGTCTGAGCTATGAGTATGTTGGCAGTTTCCTTGCATTGTTCTCATGTCTCAACTTTAACTTTCCTTCAACATGATCTCAGTTGTGTGAACTGGAGTGCATTGAGCAGTCTCCCAGGGTAGGAGACCTCCCAGTTTCACACGTGAGCTTTGAGCTGGAAGAGCATGCTGGCCTGGTAGCTCTATGCCTGCAGCTCACAGGATTGGTGACAATATTTAAGAATTAAAGTTACTGGATTTTTTTTTTCCTGGCACCCCAACCTCTGGGAAAAGTCACCTTGTTTTTATTTTAAGTCTCAAGTTACTGAATTGCAGGGTGGTGGCAAAGATGGCCTGTGGTTTCTCTGAGTTTCTATCAGGTCTCCTAAGAACCTGACTAGCTGTGTGCTTCCTATCCCATGGGTCACCCTCCCCTCCCTCTGCAGCAGTGGAAGCTGCAAAGTCCTGTCCTTAGAGTGAGCAGACTTTGCATCTGAGTCAGAAAGGAGTTAAGCCTCCGTGGTTATTCAATCTCCTGCTGCCAATTATGACGTCTGCTTTTCTTCAGAGAGTTGTAATGTTTGTAATCCTCCATCTGGAAAAGGACTGAGCTTGCTGATGGTGTAAATTACCATAAAGTAATCAGATAGGAGAATGGAGCATCTGTCTCTGTAAGCTGAAGTGTGGGATGCTACTTTATATGGAAAGCTTATGAAAAGATTTCCATTTATCTCCACACTTTAAGGCATAGATTATTTCCTTCATTATGACAATAGTTACCCTTTAGATTGTAGCAAACAGAACAATAGTTGAAATGTTTTATTCTTTTTTTTGCTTTTAAGCTCCTGCTTTTTAATTTTCTGCTCAGGAAAGGTGCTTTACTTTTTCTGCCTTTAAAGCAGGTGGAGGAAGGGATTAATAATCCTGATTTCTGGCATCTGTCCCCAGTTCTGCTACTGTCTGCACCAGAGGCAAATTATTACATGTGCTGTAGGTGTGTCTGCAGGAAGCTTCAAGGGTTGCTAGATGGTCTTTATATTGTTAACTATTACTGCATTTTCTAGCTAAGAGTCTAGCAAAAGTGCTGAGAATGCTTCATGTTTAATTGTTCGTGTCAGAACTGGTTCTTCTCTGAAGCAACAAATACCTTTCTTGGACATTTTCTCATTAGGAATATTTTTACCATTTGATTCCAGGAGAGAGTGCTGTCCATGGAGATGTGGGACAACAGAATGAGAAACTTTGCAGCTTTACAAAAAAAGCTTTACATATTCAGCTAGATAGGTAAGATCCTGACACACTTGAGGTGATCTGAGGCAGCGGCCTGTGTGCTCTTCCTGTGTAGGGGATCTCTTCTCCTTTGAAACAAAAGCCTTCTGGTCCAGTGCCTTCCAAGATTCCCTTGAGGTGTTACTGTCCTGTTCCTTTCATAGCCTGCCATGGGCTGGCAATCATGGAATGGAGAAGTTTTCAACCTCCATATGTTCTGTAGAAATATAGGCTGTTTGTTTGTAAATGATGAAACCACTCTGTATGGAACAGCCTGTATTTCAGAGGATTTACTGAGAAACAGACAGTCTGGTTAGGGCTAAAACACAATGTTTGCTGAGTCTTCTAAGTTTGAAATGCACATGCCAATTTCTGCAGCTGCTCTCTTTGCTAGTCTGCACAAATTCAAGTGTATGGACAAAATACGAGTTTCTAGAGGCTGGCCCCTTTCATTACAGCAAACTTTCCTTTCTCAGCTTACCAGAAGTGCCCTCCTTGGTTGACGTGCCTTGTTTATCTGCCCAGCTGGATGACTGCCTTCTTACTATATTGAAAAATCAAATATTCAGACATGGAACTGTGGCATCTCGCCCACCTGTACAGCTGGAGGAATTTGTCGAGAAGCCTGGTGGGATTTTGGTCCGATGGTGTAAGGTAGGTAAAATATCCTGGGTGAAAATCATTAAGACTTGAGTTTTCTGGACAGAAACAGAGAAAGCCATTTTCATTCTGGATTCTGTACAGCCTTCAGAGGAATAGTCCACTTCAGTGTGTAGTTAGAAACTTAAGATATTTCTATGGTCATGACCTCATATAAAGGCAGAGTAATCAAGTGATGTTGTGGCTGGTGCTGGGGTTGGTGTCTGCCTGGCATTGACACTCCTGTGTCAGGCTCTTGCGTTGGAATCTGCAGGTAGAAAGGGCTGACATGTGAAATGCACCTTTGCCTCACAATCTCCTTCCCTGTGTGTGGGAAAGTAGGAGGGGCAGCTGAAGACAGCGCTAAAACACAGGTAAAACATGGCTAAAACATTGCTTGATCTCCAGAGGTCCTTTCCAACCCCTAACATTCTGTGATTCCGTGACTTAAAGATACCAAAGAATTGGAAGTCTTTCCCTGGAATGACTGTTCCACCCTGAAATAGTTTATGAAGGATAATAGTGAGTTTCTCTTGCTGTTAAAAATGGGCACCAAATCTTGTTATACCTCTGCTAGACTGAAAAGTGTTTCTTCTATAGATACTTTTAACCTGTGACAACATCATTCTTACACTACTTTTTGTATTAGTTGGTTCAGACTCTGGTATTTTCTGTAAGGCCTACAAGTGCAGTACTGCCCTGGAATGTGTCACTTCAGGGGTAAAAGGGAAAATGGGGGGACAGGGTGGTCTTTGCTGATGCAATGAATGTTCCTGTAGGTGGATGATGACTTCGTAGCACAAGATTACAGGCTGCAGTATCGCAAGAGTAATGCCAGTCACTTTGAAGATGTGTATGTTGGCTCAGAGACAGAGTTCATCGTGCTGCACATTGATCCTAACATGGATTACCAGTTCAGAGTCTGTGCCCGGGGAGATGGACGGCAGGAGTGGAGCCCGTGGAGTGTTCCTCAGATGGGCCGCACCACATTGGTTCCCCACGGTACCATCTCCTTGCTCTTCATCTTCATCTAAGGCCTGTCATCAGCACAGCACTCCTGAAGGTCTCTAGCTAGATGACTTATGGAGCTGTGTCTGTATGCTGATGGGGTGTCTTTAGCTGTGACACATGTCTGTAATGTGTGATGGACTGTCCTTCCATCCTGGAATTTACTCTTTGCTCCGCAGCGTGGGTGACAGGGAGCTTCCCAGCAGGTGGCTCCTCTGCCTTGGGAAGCACCAAGGAGCCAGAAGTGAAGTGTTTTATCCCTTTTCTGGCAGCCCTACCCAGGCAGCAGTCACATAACAAGCTGTTATCTTGGAGAGAGGAAAACCTAAATTGTCTCTTCATTTGCAAATTGTTAAGGGCAGCAAGTCATGAAGGTGTTCCTGTGCCTGCAGCATGACTTGCAGGGGTGGCTGCAAAGGGTGAAATGCTGGTGAACCCTGTGAGCTGGGAAATGTTCTTGTAATAGCAAATTATTTGAAAAAGAAATCTCCAACAGAGGATGTCCAAACCTACCTCCTGTTCTTAATGTAGCTTAAGCTTCAAATGAAGTAAACTGAGTGGACATTGTGACTGAGTTGATTTTGAGACAGTAGCTGATTTAGTTGAGGTTCATGCTGGGTTTTTTTCTTTTCCTTTGAAGAATGGACAGCTGGTTTGGAGGGTTACAGCCTGAGCAGCCGAAGAAACATAGCACTTCGGAACGACTCACAGTCCTGCGGTGTGCTCTACTCCAAAGCTCCTACTTACTTTTGTGGGCAAACATTGACATTCAGGCAAGTACTTTCTGTGTAGCTGTGGTCTGGTGTATCTCCTGGGAGTCAAGCTTCCTTCTCTAGTCCATTACATCCAAACTGTGTAAACCTGAGTCGTGATGCATGTCTGAGTTGTACATCAGCCCCAGCCGAGGTAGTGTCCATGTGAAGCCTGAACTTCCTTCTCTTTACTTCTGCTTCCTGGCTCTTTAGGAAAACGCTAGATGTTTTCATTGGACCTGCACCTATCTAAAACAGAGACAAGAGTGAACTCCTGGGGGGTGGTAAAATACAGCCCATGCTGAGCCAATCTGTGGAATGTTGAACTTCCTCAAGTTTTGTAGCAGCTGTTCCTGGCTGATCTGGTCAGTGGTTTTGCTGTTGATTCTTTTTAACCTGGAGTTAGTGGGTGCTTTCCTTCCCAGACTGTCCATGTGCTTTGATGACTTTGGATGTGAAAACATGAGATGTGCTGCTGGGGCAGGTATGGATGACAGTCAGGCACTGGTGTCTTTAGCATTTGAGATGATTAGTGGTGATCAGTCTACTGCTTGAAACTGGCATTAGAAACTCTTGAGTGAAGAAAGGATCTTGTGAAATTCAAGCTTTTCATTTGATGCACAATGTGATTAAAATCATTGGCAGCTTTGCTGCCTGTAGTCCTGTCCCTGAGATGATGCTGTTTAATAGGGTATTAGGAGCTTCCTTGTGGCTATGTCAGTTGTAATTACAGTCCATGGAGATGTTGAAGCTTTATTCCATCTTTCCCTGGTTAAATAAAGCAATTTGCTGTATAGTAAGTGACCCCCAAAGGCAATTTAAGGGAGTTGTTAATGAAATTTTTGTCACTGATTTCATGGTGGTTCATTTGTCCTGTCTTGTTACTGAATTATCTTAATTTCAGATGGTTGTAGTATGAGGATGTATTCAGTTGCCCTGTCTCAGATAGGATGAAAAGATCTAAAGCTTTCTTTTAAAATCTGTTGCTAGATTTAACATCTCTTGGCTCAGAAATGCCTGTGAAATTAAAGGCAGAACTTTGAGGTTTCCCTTGGTTCTCTTTCAGACCGAGGCCTTTTATCTTTTTTTATCAGTAACATATGAAAATCTTTTGCTCTACATTTTGCTCATGTGGACTCCTCTCCAAGAGGAGATTGTTTCAGGATGCCAGAGCACTAACAAGCACATGTCCACAAGAACTGTAATTATATGAATCTTAAGATTGGAGACAGCCTCAAAAAACAGTTGTGTTCCTCCTCCAAGGTCCAAAAGTAGCTTCTTGTTTATTATTACATTTTTGGTCATTCTTGTGGCTTTACAAACACTTGTTTCCAACACAAAACTCAAGAAAGGCTCCCTTAACTGGGGATGGGATGAACTAATGTTACCTTATACAGAAAGTTTACACATTAATAGCTGTTGATAAAGCTTCACCAGTAACTGAGGCGGAGTTTAAAATCTAAAGTGGGGTACCAAAATTAATTTGAAATCTCACTTAAGTAATTTTGGGAAAACAGTGGGCACTTCCAAATTAAAAGCTTCTTGGCTTTTTACCTTTTTTGTTGTTGTTGTTTGTTAGCTTTACTTTTCAGTAGAAGGCTTTGACTATCTTAGTGTCATTCCCAAGGGACTGAAATAACTAATGGAGTGCAAAAGTGCTCCAATTTTATCTTCCCTGTTTGTCTGGAAAGAGGTAACTCGTTGTGTGCCAGACTACTGCCCAGTTTCATTTCCATTCTTAAAAGCTTGTGCTGAAGTTTCTCTCTTGTTTGACGACAACCACATATCAGGGCTCTTTCTCTCAAGCTGTAATGAAAATAACCACTGTTTTAGTTTTCTATAAGGAACCATCTGAGTTTCCTAAGTCACTGGGGCTGAAATACAATTTAGTAACCTTGAGAGATGGCAGCACTAGAGAAAAGACTCAGATGCAGAAGGGTCCTTCAGTGTACGAACTGCAGCCTCGCTCAGCTGCTCGGGCTCCAAGGGAACCATGTCCCAGGGTGTTTGCACAACTTGTTTGCTTTTTATTCAGATATTCTTTCCCAGGACCAAGATCCTAAATGCAGGTAAGCAGAAGCCAGACTTATAAGTGCCCTTCTAGGCATTTTTTTTAATACATATTTTTACCAAACTGATTTGTTAAAAAACACACAACCGACACCACTGCCAAAAGACACCAGCCTTCTGCCCCCACCCCTTTACAGCAGAGCTCAAAACCCCCATTTTAGCCATGTTTATTAAATACTTGCTGAAACTCCAGCCATCTTTCTATAATAGGTGATGTTGACCAGTAATCTGGTATAAATGATTGTAGCTTTGCACATTTTGGTTGTTTCAGGCAACTGGGTCATTGCAAAAGCTTGCAAGCTGTGACTGCAGAATTTTATTAAATAACAATGAAAGTTTGGAGGAAGCAGGTTAAATGTTCTGTACAGATTAATAGTTAGAGCACTGCTTAGTGGAGCTGTTGGGAAAGCTGGTAGGGCTTCTGGTCATCCAGCAGCAGTCTTCCCAAAAGGCTGGATGGATCTGTTGGAGCACAGTAGAGAGGTCTGGTATGGCAGGGTATTACTGTCTTGATTTCACTTTCTGTTTTGATTTAGAGCTTCAGGGTTTGACTTAACATTTTGCTTGGTAGAATTGAAACTGTGGGACAGCCAGACAGACGTGACAGCCTGGGAGTGTGTGTGGAGCAGCGGAACGGCTACGATTCCTTGCAGAGGGATAAAGCTGTTTGTGTCAGCACCAATGGTGAGTCTGAGCCACAGCTCTGCACAGTGGGATCTTTTTTCTTTTCTATCCCCCATAGCCCCTGTTCTTGGTATCCCTGGATCACATATAAGTTCATCTGTCTTTTATGTACACAGAGTTCGTGCAGTTAAAATCTTTGGTGAGATCACAGGTCTCCTTTTTCTGCTTGCAGTCATTGCAGCCTGTTTGATGTGACATTTTTGTTTGCCTGTGAAAAAATAGGGAGAGACAGTGTTGTGTGTTAGTAGGTACAGAAAGCAAGAAATGATGTTTATTATCTTGACTGTTTCAGGGGCAGTATTTGTAAATGGAAAAGAGATGACAAACCAACTGCCTGCTGTTACTTCTGGATCAACTGTGACGTTTGACATGGAGGTTGTGCAGTTAGGGCCTTCCAGCAACGAGGGGGGAAGCTTCAAGATCAGAGTAACCATTAGCTCTAACAACAGAGAAGTGGTCTTTGACTGGGTACTTGATCAATGCTGTGTCTCTTTGTATTTTGGATGTTCATTTTTATACCCAGGCTGGAAAGTCTTAGTGTTTTAGCAGTAAGTGAAGGGATTTTTGTTCTTGCTGTAAAGCATAATGTTAAAACCTGGGTTTCCAGCTGTTTTGACACCAACAATCTGTTAACAAAAACCTTTTTTATACTACTTGAACTCCACTGTATTGTACTTCCTACTGGATTCATTTCAAAAACTAATGGTGAAACATTGGATTTGTTACTCTGGAAAAAGTTAGAAACAGGCATCTGTGTAGGCAAATTAATTTAAGCAGTCCATAGACCTTTCTCTTTTTTCTCCAGACATGATTTTTGTCAGTATTTCCTTGTACTCTAGTCTCAGGGTACGTGTGTTGTGTAGAATTAACTTTGCTTAATGCTGCTGTTCTGGGAAACAAGCCTGTAAACATTTAAGGGGGTGGCAGGGTAGTAATGGACCAAAGTTTTATTTATACCACTCATAAAAGAGCAAAGTATTTAGAGCAGTGCTGACCTGCTATGCTTCCTTGTGCACAATGCTGCCTTACTAGATAGAGGGAATGGAGAGTGGGGTCTGCACCAACACCTGTTCCTTCCTTCCATGGTACTGTTTATTCCTCCAGGGCAAGGATGTCTGAGCCATAATGTCTGTTTAATGATGTAGCCTGTTTGTTAATGTCTCACCCAAGTGCCTTATATTTCTTGAACTGTTTTCTGTGTTGTCACTTGGAATATATTTTCTAGAGTAGTTGCATGGTGATGCTTAGATCAGCTTAGTGCAGGTGCTTGCCTCAAGCTAGACCAATACCTAGAGTAGGACAGTTGTCCTCAACTGCTCCAAATGTCTTCCCTAGTTCTCATGTACCAAGTAGTCTATGTTGGAGCAAGCCTTGGTGATTCAGTACTCTGGCACAACATGCATGTGGCAGCCAGGATTCCTCACAGAGCCCTTCTGAGATCTGGAGACAACCTTGTGGGGTCTGCACCAACACCTGTTCCTTCCTTCCATGGTACTGTTTATTCCTCCAGGGCAAGGATGTCTGAGCCATAATGTCTGTTTAATGATGTAGCCTGTTTGTTAATGTCTCACCCAAGTGCCTTATATTTCTTGAACTGTTTTCTGTGTTGTCACTTGGAATATATTTTCTAGAGTAGTTGCATGGTGATGCTTAGATCAGCTTAGTGCAGGTGCTTGCCTCAAGCTAGACCAATACCTAGAGTAGGACAGTTGTCCTCAACTGCTCCAAATGTCTTCCCTAGTTCTCATGTACCAAGTAGTCTATGTTGGAGCAAGCCTTGGTGATTCAGTACTCTGGCACAACATGCATGTGGCAGCCAGGATTCCTCACAGAGCCCTTCTGAGATCTGGAGACAACCTTCTTTGTTTCCAGAGACAAGGAAAATGCTGTTCTGATGTGCAGGATTCCTGGAAATCCCAGATATCTCCCTGGGAACACTGCATTCACATACAGTAGTGCAGGTCTATGGTCCCAGTGCTGGGGATGGACTGGGCCACCCAAGAGAACTGGGACAGCTGCTGGAGATTCACCTTGGGAGCAATGGAGAAGGGCTTTGAGTGCGGGCTTAAGGCAGACCCCAAATTAACCTGTGGCAGTCAAAATGGAACAGCTGGGGGGATAAGTTAGCTCTCCTCTGTGTAGTAGGATGGGACAAGACATTATGATTATATAATTTACTTTAAATTCAGAAGTTACATAGAATTACCACTATTTCCCCTAAGGAGCAACTAAGATTTGGAACGAGCTCATCAAAGAGAGCCTATTTCTGGCCAAAATATTGCAATACTACTGGATTTAAGGAATATTTTAAAGTAGTGCTCACTGAGGGCCTTAAAAGGGACACTTTTACCTCAAGGTCAACTAAATATATTTTAGCATGTTAGAATAGCAGTATTTTTATAAAACCTAGACAATCATTCTGCCCTTTTTTCCTTCAGTGTCAACATGGTACATTAATCCTCCATTCCAGCATAAAAAACTAAATGTACATTCCCCATGCTCACATGGTCAGTATAAAAAGATTAGTCACCTGCCTACATTTTTCCCCCCCAAGCATCTGCAGTTTGGGTACATGAAGTTCAGAAGAGAATTGGTGGTTGACATTCATACTATTTACAAGAAAAAAACTGAGTAGATTCAGATGAATGCAGAGAACTTGCACATGGTAAAGTTAGGTTGGAACTTACTGTAAGACATAAGTGAGGAAGACTGGACACCTGCAGGTAAAATAATCCAGTGTTAGCAACAAAAAGCCTGCAGGATTCTGTTTTTCAAGCTTAACTATTTCATTGTTAGGGAGTAAGAGAATACTAGCTTATCTTGTACTTCCAGTGTTCCTTTAAAATTATCCTGTGAAGAGTATTTTCTATACTTTTATAGCCAAGAAGAGCCAGATGATCAAACAGTCCTGATTAGAGGGGTCAGGCTGGCACTACAGTAAGCAGCTGTCTTAAGTCTTGTTCCACTTACTAGTGCTGGTAATATTACTTAGGCACTTCAGGTGTCAGGTACTAGTTGTAACTTAGTACTTTTACCACATGGAAACTAAACTTGTGAATATCTGAGTATCTTCTGAGGTACCAACAGGTCAGGTCCCTTTTCATTTGCTTTGGAGGGGCCCAGCCCAACTAGTGATCCTGCAGAATTTGTACTTGCATATTAGAAAATAAAGAGGAAGCTTTGAATTGAGGTACTTGCAGAGATGGTGATGCCTCCTCAGTCTGTTCAGAACATACACACAAAGCAGCTGGAGGTGACTGTGAAGGGCCACAGGAGGCCCTTAGGGCTCCCCTTTGAGAGCCAGGGATGGCAATAGAAATCTTTAGCTGTGTGTTGAACAAGGGCAGCTTGCTAATGTTGGGTTGGGGTTGTTTTTGTGGGGTTTTTTATTATTATTTTTTAAACAACAGAAGCCTAACTGTCCAAATCACAACTTAGGTACCGTTCAGTCACCTCTTAGACCTGCACCTTTTCAACCTCAGACAGGTGAAGTCTCAGGGCAAGCAACCTGAGTAATGAAGTAATAAAGTATGCAAAAAATCGGGGAGGATTGAATTAAAAAAAGGTTGAAATTCTGTTCTTCCACAGCAGAGTTCAGCTAGATAGAAAACTTGACATTTGCTTTAGTTTTTCACCTCTAGGTATTGGAGCCTTGTGAGCAACAGTGTTAACTGCTTCTGAAATCCAATCCTGAAAGTTGTTTTCTTAAGCTAGTACATTCACTTACCTCAACTAAGACTTATGTGTCAAGTGAAATTGATTTTTTTTTTAAATAAAGTTTTATCCCTCAACACTGTATGGTCTAGTAAATTATTTTTTATTTGGGCATAACAATGAGCATCACTGCCTTTTTCTAACAAGGTGAAAATTGATGTTACAGCACAGCAGCCACCTTGAGCTTCTCCCATTTAAAAAAATTATTTTCATTTTCTGTTCCTCAAAAATCCCAAATATGGTTTTTATTTTCTGCTTAAGTTTGTATCTTGAGTAGTAAGTATCTCTGGCAGAAATAATAATTTTCCTTCTTTAAAAAAGAGTTACAACATCTCTAAACTACTCTCCTCAACATTCCATCACAGCTAATGTCTCCATTTTACTGTTCCCAGCTCCTTGCAGTTGCATTAAATAGTGCTACTTTTACACAAAGCAGGTTTTGGCCACCAATACTGAGCAAGAAACAGATATTTAATTCCTGTCAGATAAACTCTATGTTGAACTAACAAGTTTACTTAATTCCCTTACTTCTGCTTTACCTAAAGCCTATTCCATTTCCTTGGTCCCTTTTAAAGGAAAAAGAACTTGTGAAACCGTGCTGACAGGGTACCTTTCCCTCATAAATACACCACTCATATGAAGCACCTTCTTCATGGCAAGATGCCGAGTGTGTCTCCTAAGGATCTTGATCTTGATCTCTCGAGGTCCCTTCCAGCCCCTAAGATTCTATGATTCTATGATAAGGAGGTCCCAAGCAACGTAACAGCAGCAGGTATCAGGCAGACTTACCTCCTTCATTCCCAATTCTTGTTTTCTTGGTTGTGAAAGCAGCAGGATCAGATTTACAGCCAGGATCATAGTCCAACAGGAACGCCCTCATTCAAGCACTGGTGGAGAACGGCACCAAACTTCTGTGAATTAAGAAATACTTAACTTGGAAATATATTTGTCAAAATTTGTCCACACAGAATGGCTCTTGCATTCTCAAAGGTAAAATCAAATTGCTGGTTTGGGGTGGGTTATGTGGTTTGGGGTTTTTGTTTTGTTAATTAGTGAAGCAATCAGAACAGTTCCAAGTATTTGCAACTGCTTCATTCTAAGCATTCTAATCTTTACCCTACCCCAAAAAATTTGAGGACTACATTCAAGACACAGTCAAAGCAACATACACTTAAGGTTAACAACTTAAATGCATCTAACAATTTAAATATAGTGTTTAATGTACTGAATTAAATATTCAAGTAATATATTAGGTTCCAACTTGGAGTTCACCAGGTACAAAACATGATAAAAATCTGCCATGAACATGTTAAAGGCTAGAAGAACCTTGCCAGTTTTAGAGACAAAAACATACCAAAGAACTGCAGCAAAGTTTACAATATCTAGCTGTCATATTCTGTATTTCAGCACCTGAATTGTTTTCAACATGGAAAAAGGTTTTCAGTGTCTGCTAGTCAGCAGTCAGTGCTCAGCCAAGCAGTGCAATTCCTTACTCATTTTGTCTGTAGCACCTGAAGTAGCCACCCTCTGCAGTTCCAGACAAGCACTATTTTAAACTGGTACGAATTTAAACTTTGGTCCCAACAGAGGGTACTGTAAAATCTGTTTGAAACATTAACCACTTACGTGTAAAAAACCTCACAAGTCTTATTTTTATAACTGACATGAGCAATGTTTCATTTTCAGTTATATAAATTACAGTTCCAAACAGTAACATGCAGCTCAGACCTCTCAGGAATTCAGTTCCACCCCCAAGAAAGGACAATGAAAGTTGCTATAAGCTGGCTAAAAACCTGGTAATTTAGAGAGACACTTTAATTTTATCAAAAAAACCAGACAGAAACTTAGCTGCCTTTGTAACAACCTGAAAAAGGAAGGACATGTATCCA